GTTCAATTACCATTATTAATCAGCCTTATGGGGGATCAGGTAAATTATATCTTGACACAATCAAGATCCTCTGACCCCATCCCCCTGCCAAGGAGGGAGGTTCGTTAGATTATTACTGGGCTTTATGGACTTATGGGGAGTCAGGTAAATTTTATGGTGACACGATCAAAATCCTCTCACCCCCTACCCTCCACCAAGCGACCATTACCGACCGGTTCATATTTGTTATCTGGACTTAACTTTAATATAGTCCATTCCCGTAGCAAATAAAGACTGTTGGCAGACGAAAAATCTTTGAATTCTAATAAATTTCACATTGAATGAGGAGGAAGTTATGAAAAATTTAAGTTCACTGCATTAAAAATAGACTGAGGCAAAAAGGCATTCAATTTGAAAAAAAAAATACTCTAAAAATTGTATAAGTAAAATTGCAATTTTTATGTGTTAGAACTCCCGAATTTACCAGAATTGTGTTGATTCATGTGTTTACCTGGACAAACTAGCCAGAAAAATCACAAAATTTTAAAACAACAGAGCAATTTCTCTTTTGAGTGAGCTGAAATGTCAGATTTATTGTTCTTTTTGACTTTATGTCTTTTAAGACATAGATTAAAATTCTGGTCACAACATAAATAAATACAAAAATTGGATTTGGTGTCAATGTGGATGGTGTCATCCAGTTCTGAAAAACACAAAAGCTGACGTAAATTTGCTATCTTAAATTCTCTTCTTAGGGTTGTATGTATTCGTGTCTAGCTGAGGCGCAGAAAGAGAAATGCAATTGCACTGAAGGAAAATTCCCTGTGGGTGGAGAGATATGTTTGAATGTTACTGAACGTAAGTTCCTTGTTTGTTTAGAGCTTGTCTTTATTGAACACTTTAACACGCTGTTGGAAACCGGCGAAATGATGTTCTATGAAATTTTCAGAAATGAATATGTTTTTATTTACTGAGTGGGAAGGCCAAACGGGAAAATATTTGTCTCGAAGTCATGACGTACATGACTTAGATACTGAGCGCGGAGAGGTTCGTGCATCAAGACCGAGAGCAAAATATTTCCGGCTCTATTTTCTGGCTCTAACGAACTCAGTCAATGTACGTTTCAACATATGACAAGTGAGATTTTGAAATATTGACATTTTTATTCTTCGAGTTGGAACAAGAAATCTCAATTACTCGGTAACACAACCCATTACCTCATTTCTATCTTTCTGAAGTTCAAGTTTACAAATAGAATTCACGTCCGTGGAAAATGCGACGGAACTATACAAATGCGGCGGGACAGCTTTCTCCGTACCAGCCCTCTTGAGCCTGTCCAATCCTTCAAACTTCACACTTCTCACTTCATAATGGTTTTTTATTAAATTGCGTGAGCGCAGCCATACGGGTCATATAAAAAATGGTTCTAACTCTTCTTTGATTTTTTCAGCCCTCAGTCTGAATCGCATTTTTGTAAACTTTCTTTTCGACTCATAACAACAGTACTCTGAAGGTTTATGACCATATTTCATATCGCATTTGCTAACCAAACGTTCGCATGCGCAATTTGGTAGCCTTGGGTTTTAAAACCTTAACAATGTCCTATCATATCGTAATAAACGATTAAATACTAATATATTTTTTATTCTCATAACCAGTGCAATGTGTTCAAGAACAGCAAAAGAGATATGATAATGACGAACTTGGTTGTTCAAGACGGTGCCCTCAACCTTGCCAGTATGTATTTTTTTATTACTCGGTAGAATACAACTCGTCACAATACAAATGCGAATTTTTCTCAAATAAGCATCCACAAACAATAACTGCCTAGTTAAATAAATTAATTTGTTTTTCAAACAGGCAAATGAGTTTCAGGACGTCAATGTCCAATTCAGCGTGGGCTCTTTATTACGAGGTAAGATTGCTTACCCATGTCATCAAAATAATAATTTGTAGGTTTTACCTGTATCGGCCTTCATGCTAACTTGCAAGCGATTTAAACCACTGAACCGACTGACGATTTAAGTAGCAAATACTTCCTTCAATTATTAAGAAAAATACCAAAATTCACCATTTTTCATTGTTATTACACTTTACAGAAACAAGTTCAAGCAATGATGCGAAGAGAAGGCAACACCAATTTCAAAAATATGGGAAACGACAAAGACACATTACGGTAATCTTAAGACCCCCCCCCCCGGTCTGCACTCCCGCTTCCTCACACTCACCTATAAAGAGAAAACCACATCCATTTTAAAGGTTGATTTCTTCGTTTTAATCTAATCCGATATATTCTTGAATATCCTGTAATTGAATGTGCTCTGTGAATTTTTCTGATGGTGATGAATTTTTTGTTGTTGTACTAAAGCTTACATTATTAATATGGGATAAACCTTTCCACCCTTTGTGTTGAATACACTTTAACCAATGTAAAGTCCTTTTTGCGGTTAGATATTTTAAATTTAATGAGTATGTTCGCTTTTGTTTAATCTTTAATCTCAGGCAAAATTTCCTAAGAATAAAGATTTATTTTGAGGAACTCAACATGGAGAAAATAACATACTCCGAATACTATGCAGTAAGTGTATTTAGTGAACTTGGTGTACATGGTCCCATATTTTATGTTATTTTTTATTTATTCTGAGATCTCGTGAATCCTTGTGATATCTGCTTCTGCACGGAGTCGTTACGGATACTCCGTAGGCTTCACGAAAATCTGATGAGAAGGACTCTTTCAGCAAATAAGAATTCGTAGCATGCAAATTGAAAGAACCTTTGTTTTACTGAAGGGTAGGCATGCCATTGAACGAGTACTATCATGCTTCATTATGAGTGCTGCAAATTGTATGTAGACATTACACGATGGCAACTTTCGAGAAATTCCTTTAAAATCTTTAGATCATACAGCTTTTCATCTTGTTATTCTCGTTGAACTTTCCTTGTTGTTCAAAAAATGTATTTAAATCTTCATTGCTAACCAAAAAAAATCTTGCAATGGCCATTACTCCAAACAACAAACAAACCAAGTTCATTTAGCAAAGTTTAAAAAATTGGGAATCGTAACGTCGTTGCTCAATATCGCCATTCGTGTTTACATACAAAAGATACCCCACTCGGCTCTAGGACGTGGTGTTCGTATTGATTCTACGAGTGAGTAAGTTCTCGGTAAAACATTTCCGTCCATGTCATAAATGATATTATTCCATCTACCCAATATGACGGCAAGGGAGGATAAAACTATACTCCAGCTAAATACAAACAACATTGCATACGAACTCGACATTCATCCAATTAGACAAGTTGTAGTGTTTCGAGCCATTTAATTGATGATATCGTTTTCTGCTATTGAGAAGACGATCTTCTTTATGGCTTTGATGGCATTAGAAGGCTTACGATCTTTTTTTTTTTTTTAAGTTTGAGAATCTGATGAGTGACGTGGGAGGGCAGCTAGGTCTTTGGATCGGTGTGTCCTTCATCACGGTGGCCGAAGTGATTAAACTGCTCCTGGACATGATCAGGGTGCTGGCTCGTAAATTTTACCTCACTGACGGAGAAGTTCGAGATATCCATGAAATGAAGTGAGGATCGTCCCTCAAAGTGCTTAAGTAAATTTTATATAATCAAAATACGTTCTACAAGGAAACCACTTAGGCTTCATGAGGATCTCCCAAGATCTAAATGTAAACTCTCCTTACTATCTACTACACATATTTTATAATTATTAGGTCTAACAATCTGGTAGTTAATCAAACAGCATCCATAACTTGGTGTCAGTTTCATCTCCTCCGCATTTTTCTGCTGAACAATATAATTTGGTTTTATCGACTGAGTTCAAAATGTAAATGAGCCACCGTAAAGAGTTTCAAAGCTGACGTTTCAAGCTTTAGCTGGCGAAGGGCTAACGCTCGAAACGTCAGCTTTGAAACTCTTTACGGTGGCTACTTTACATTATCAACTAAACTGATAAAACCAAATAATCTTGTCATGCTACCTCACCGACGCAGCACCACAGTTTCTTTAGAAACTTACCCCCTTTATTCATTCCCACTTTCCAAACGCCCCTCACCTATTCCCTGCTTGAAAGAGACATCATTTGTAAACAGGGTATTTAACTTGTCACATTAATTCTGACAAAATAATCTGTATGATATTGTTCAATAAAAATTTGTTGTATAATGAGTGCAAATGACCGGCATGATTGTGCCATGATAACATGGTTTTCGAAGTTCTAGTATTTTCCTACCTCGTAAGTCGTAAGCTTGTCCGAGGGAAATCACTTTATTAGTATATAGGGAAAACCAGGTGTTCGGTCATCTGCTGATTCAAAATGTTTCTGCATCAGCAGTATTTTGGCCAAAAGTAAGGCATATCCATTTTTGTAACTCAGAGTTTGCCATGGGTCACTGAAAGTTCTTTATCTTTATTGATATCAGTTATTTTAAAGTTCACATGGAGTTCTTAGTTGTCTTGTTTCGTAACGTATCACGGGTTACCGCGCTCATATCCATGTAGTTTGTGAGATAATCCACTATATATACTCGACGCATTTATACTGACCCTGTCTTCTGACTTTGCATCAGACCTAAAGACATTCTTTAATCTTAAGCATCTTCTTGTATTGGGAACCCTCTTTACTCATTAATACGGTATTGGCAAACACTAAAAGGCATTTCCGTTCACTAAGTAAGGGCAAGAAATGCGCTCTGAAAACCTTTCTCATAGGTTTAAATTATTAAGAAAGTTTCATAAAGTTTGTTCCTCGCATACTCCAGCTTTCTAGGAATTTTCTTATTTAGCCAATTCAGTAACCGAGTACTATTAAAAGGTCACACACTCCAGATTAACTTTTACATACACTGTTGGCTAACTGATTGCAAACAAACAAAAAATACTGTTAAAAGAGACTGATACAAGACAAAAAATAAACGTGCCACGCGAAGATTTAAGCTCAGAGGGCTCAGAGCTTCCTGAGTTGCTATTTTCCTCTTCTGCTTGACAACTACTTATGCCACTTTTCCCACAGGTAACCCAACAAGTTGGCCATGAATTCTAATAATTCTACAAAAGTCATAACTGAACAACCAATCCACAGGCCCAACTGACCTCCGATATCAGCGAGGAGGTTTTCGATCTGCAAAGTAGAGCGATATTAAAGTCGTTAAAGGAAGCTAAAATACATGTTAATTGTTACAAGAGTATTGTAACAGTCAGTACTGTAAGTAAACTGTATCGTTAAATCTGTATCTGTAGCAGAAATTACACGAATCAACCTGCATTTTTTGTTAAATCGTCGCCAGCTTCTACCCGGCTTGTTTTTGTCATTCTGTATTTAAAGCTTCAATAAGTTTACCTTGTATGCCTCTTCGTTGATGGTTTTAAAAACACTCAGATCTTCATAAAATATTTGCAGTCTTAGAAAATTGTCCCTGTGGAAAAATGACAACTTCTTTCAACCCATCAGATAACAACTGCTTTTTAGATGGTTAAATTTGTAACCCCTTGTTTAACTTACATTGGTTAGTCTTTCGCTCGAATCAGGTTATTCAAGCTTTACGACTTTAAAATTCAAAATCCCTCTCAGGCAGAAGGTGTTAGAGGGTGAATCATGCCTTGTAAAAAAAAAATGGCCCAAATCAATTGATTAGTCTCGCTAGCAGTTGAAATTGAATGATTAGGATATTTGTTTTGAATAGAAGAAAATCGTGTTTGAACGAATAAATCTATAGAAAAATGCGAAATGAGGCATAGGCTATTGCTTAATAAACTAGTACCTTAACGCGATGTCTTTTGCCTTGGGGTGATTCTTGAGATAAAGCCTCCGAATCATGGCCTGTGAAAACCAAGACAACTGGACTCATGATTTGCGGGGAAATACGATGAATTGGCATTAAATTTAATAAACTCAAATACTGTTGAACTAAGAGATGGTGATATTCTTAAAAAAGGAAAAATTACATCAAATGCCGTTGACCAGCGTGCACTTGAAATTGAACGACTGAAAGCGTTCTCTCTGGGGAGAGGAAAAACATGGAAAGTAAGTATGAAGTCTACTAACAACTTTACTTTATGCCAATTTCGCCTTAGGAGATATTTATCAACGAGTAACGTAAAAAATGAACTTATTGTTACTTACAAACATGGTTGTGGACATTTAGCGATACAATCCAGTCCAGTTTTTGTGAACTTTCTTAGTATATCGTTAATGCATTTGTCTGGTTGGTAAAAAGGAGAAAAAAACTATTACAAACTGTGAATATCACTTTCATTCATTTCTTAATCGGCAGATCACAAATATGATTTTCATAAATTCACAGTCATTTATTCGTCACTTCGCGCGTTTATTACAAACCAACATAATGACCAGCTCCCAGTTGGTAGAGCACTGCACCGGTATCGCAGAGGTTATGTTATTTATTCATGGTTCACGGTTATTTTACGAACCAGCGAAATGACCAGCTCCCAGCTGGCTTGTTAGCTCAGTTGGTAGAGCACTGCACCGGTATCGCAGAGGTCATGGGTTCAAATCCCGTACACACCTGAACTTGTGCCAAGCCTCACTTTCACTACTGCTTATGTGATGTTCATTACTGCGAAGATCGCTTTCATTCAAAACTATTGTTACTATTAGAAAGATTTGTGAGAGTGTGGTTGTCATCACTGGATATTGCAAGTACGATCCAACAAACTCACTCTGCTCCTCACTAAAACATGCTGAACTGTTGATGGGAAATCTTGCTTCGGAGCAGTTGCATCTCTCGACTTCTTCGGATGCTAAACACGACATTCTACAAGCCTAAGAAGATAAATATATACAAGAAAGTATTGATCTAAAAACGAGAGAGTTTTAGTTAGGCACGGAGGCATATTCAACAAAATGGTACGGTGTAAATCTGTTACATGAGGTGGAAAGGGGTGGGGAAGGAAGGACCGCTGAACAACTTCAGACCAGGATACTCCATTCCTGTTTACGATGGAAAGGTTTCCCTTTTTATTTCCATTTCACTACATTACAGAATCAAGGCAATCTTTTGATCCCAAAATAAGCATACTATAAACTCAAATTTAACAACAGTCAGTGATTGGACCTTACCATGTTTGAAAATATTGAAGGGCCGCAGCCAGGGCAAAAAATTTAAGAACGATCTCTGGCTTAAGATGATTCAAACATTACGAGCTTTCAACTGCCTGAAAACTGGAGTTCGAAGACTGCAGTTCAGGCAGTCGCCGCGAAACTCATAATTTTTTAATCGTTTTCGCCAGAGAACGTTCTTGATGTTTTTTATTTTTTTTTATTTTTACCTTATCATGGTTGTTTGTTGTCAGATAAAAAATGGTGGTTCTACGCTATAATAAAATAAATGTACTTTGCAGCGGTACGGGAGACTTCAAAGTATAAATGTAAGCGTATTTTAAATACTTTAGTCTTGCCTGGGTCGAGTAATTTACGTAGTACTTTTCTGTGTAAATGGTCCGAGTATCCACTCCGGCTTTCCCATCGTCAACACAGCTGTTGTTTAGATACGGATCTACTCTTTTAACGAATTTCTGTACGATAATAGTAATGGGATAGTAAAATAGTGATAAAAACGTTAAAGAACAATTAAGTAATAAAAGTGGTGTACGATAAATCATGAATCAACGCCCTCCCAAAATGAATATTTGTTATAGAGTATAGTAAACCAACTAATCTACATATCAGTCATGATTTCTTTATCAAAATTAAACCTCATCGTGATATCTTACATGTAATTCTTTTGCCTCAATGATCAGCCAGATGTGAGACAAGCCTATCTTTCAACCGATTGTAGCGATTTGTACAACACCACAACACAATTAGTTCTACCCACCACATAATATTATTATAATAATAATAATAATAATAATAATAATAATATAATATAAATATAATAATATCATATAAGTAAGAACTATCACCCTTTTGATTCCAATCGACGTTGCAAATCCAGTGGGAATACTAAAGCCTTCGTCAAACGGAAAAGGCATTCGCGATTGGTCGGTTAATACAACTCTGACACCAGCCTCATCAGTCAACCTTGTATAACTTTGTTGATTAATGAAGATATCCAACTCTAGACCTAAACAGAATTAAGGCGTTCTGTTCAGTTCAAAGTGCATCTAGCGAGAATGGGTGTGTGGAAGGATACAATCTGAGCATATAAGACCATAGAAAAAATTAAAATGATCGCTATGGGGCTTTTTCCTTTGTTTTTCTTGAGGGGAAAACTGTTTCAAGAGTGCACTCTGCTCCACAGAGAACAGAGAGGTAGGGAGCTTGGTTTAGATAGCCATGCAGAGCCAATTTTAAGGGCCACTTAAAACGCGTATTACGATCCATAGGGTTCAGTATTTGACGACGCTTTTTTGTTTTGGTTCAAACGTTAGGATACCCTAGAAATAGACCTCTAGAATTTATTAATATGAAAAGCAGTCTTCATAGTGAGAAAGAATATTATTCCAGTCGTTAAAGCTGTGATAATCTATTACCAGTGCAACACGAATTAGTGGAGAATGACAGTCCAGCAGTGTTCTATACTGTAGATGTCTCACTTTTTTCAAATATAGCATTTATTTCTTCCCTAATTTCATTTGGCTAAATGAAGCTCATAAAGATTTCCAACTACAGGATACTATGTCGATAAATGGAAGGTTAAACTAAACTTATTAAACGTGGAACCACTTACCGTTATTAGGTCCAGCTCTATCCGTATTCATAACAGGAAGCTTTGTTCCATTCTCAGTTAATCCTGAGTTGAATATGTAACAGTTACCGTACTTCCAATGCCAGAAGTGGCGCCAAAGCGTTCTGAGACTACTGCTTAATCAGAACGAAAAATTCATACAATAACTAATTACATTCATTATCTCTATCCTTATCGCAATTGCAATCGTTGTCGCAATCGTCTTCATCGTTGTTTCCGCTATTATTACTTAGAATATCAATGTTGTTGTATTATCATTATCTTTATCACAAGTCGTGATATTAGTAGAAGTAGTATCATTGATAACAATATTTCTATAATAAATGTTAGTATGTTGTCACTTATTGAAATAAGTAGGGGCCCTTAAATGCTTATGCTGCATTAATCAGTTAGAAGGAATACTGTATGCACGAATAGTTTTCAGGTATTTTCAGGCATTGAACGTCTCTATGAAGAAAACCTCGCATTGGATAACTTTGACCTATACTTCCAAAGGAAGTAAAAATACCCGGAAAATCCCTCACTTACCCTGTTTTACAATTAAAAGACGACCATCGGCAGTACTTTAACATCTCATCCAGATCATGTCCAACCTTGGACAGCTCATCCTCAGGGATACTTTTCAAAACCTTATCTAAGAAGTTATTTTCTAAGCTTTTAATATCCACCTCAGCGTTGGATAAAATTTCCTTCTCGTCTGCGTTCTTTGCCTTGGATAGAAGATATTCCTTCTTAAATTTTTCTATTGCCTGAATTTTCTGTCGTATAACATCTTCGGTTGCGTTTATGCTTGTAATGTTAACTCGCTGTTCTAGACTGGTCGGTCTTCTCCCACTTCGTTGTTCCAGGCCTTCAATCACTCGGAGAAGGATTGTTTTTTGCAGTGTTTCCAGCTTTTCTCTCCTTATCATATTCAAATTACAGATTGTGATTGCAGGGAAGTCCAGGGACTGCAACGAGGAATGGTAAACCATTAGAAGCTCCCCCTTATTTTGGCTTCAAATTCTCGTAAGACTGATAACACATTTAAAACATTATCATTCTTCCAGTCTCCACACGCGGAAAACACAATATCCATATTTTCTTTGAGGTGTTAACTACCCAGGTAAGCTTGAGAAATAGAATTGAAATTTTTTTCGCACCAGGCAAAAAGGACGAGCGAGTTTGGCTCATAATTATTTGCATACTCATGTATAACCAGTAACGCCTACAACGAAAAACATTTAATCCTGTCACATATCAAAGTCCTGCCCAGACCGGAAAAAGAGATTAGATAGCAACGCACATGTCAAAACAAAGGCCTTCTTTTTACTTAAATATCATAATTCACCACACTGTTCTGCAATAAGAATATTTAAAATCGATAAGATAAATAAATCTTGGAAAAAATGAATTTGCCTACGCTTTCAACAGTTTCTCTGCTGCGTTTTCTCTAAAATTTTTCATCAGAACTATTGCACACTATACAACACATTTACATCACTTTCAGCCGGACTGACATGCTGTTTAAGGTGCGAAACTTCAAAAAAGTTTTTCTCGCTTACAACAAAACTAGGAAGGAAATAATAACCGAAAAACGTACATCATTATAATGTAAAATAGTTAGCTTTGAAAAGTCATTTGGTGAGCTGTTAGTAAGCTTTAATTAGACCTAGATTAGATTGTAATAATCTGTTTGCCACGATCTATCCTTATTTGCGAGAAACCAGAAATATCCTCACCTCCTCAAAGCTCATCTCTGTTCTGGACACAACTGGTTTTTTCATGTATAATACAACTAAGGCAATACACATCCAAAACACTGTTGCGTACAGACCAACACTGACCAAACTCCATATCAAACGCCTCACTAATGAACTCTTCGCGTCCGCTATCCTCCCCACACCATGTGCAGTAGTAGTGGCTGCATAGTGCGACACAAGTTTCTTGAATGAGGACGGTTCATCTTTTCCATAGTCTCCCTGTGATTCCTGAAGTTCTGTTGTTTTCTTTTTGAGAGGAAAATCTTTTGTTTCACCACTATTATCCGAATACTCCGCAGCAGCCCCTGGCATGAAACTTCAGACGGAGGAAAGGTATTAATCAACGACAGATAATATGGATGGATGTAGAAGATATCCACTCGTAATCAGAAGAAATAATTGTGGCCAAAGTGAACTTGAAATTATACCTCGTTATCTGCTAAAAACTATATTACATGATTTCGTTACAAATACGATTTAAGATAAATAAATCTTGGAAAAAATTAATTTGTCTTCGCTTTCAATAGTTTCTCTGCTGCGTTTTTCTAAAATTTTTCATCAGAACTATTGTACACTATACAACACATTTATATCACATATTAAAATTTGGAAGTAACCGTTGCAGTGAGGAATAAAATGTGCTTACTGCGAATAATTTCTTTCCTTTACCTTGGTAACCCTTGTCCTCATTAACAATTTGAAAATGGTTGAACATTTAAAACATTTTGCAAACATCGCAACCACTGAAATTGGGGAAAATCTAATTTTCACGCTAGTCTAAATATTCTTGAACATATTAGTTTCATAGTAGATATATGAATGATAAAACGAGAATTTGAAGTAAAACTGGCTCAAAATTATATGCAACGCAGATATTTCACGCAATTCAATCGACTGCAGATTTATTTGATAGCACAGTTTGGAAGCGAATCCTTTTGAAAATCTAGGAAGCAGTTCTGAATGACTGGCCATACACTAATCCTATGATGAATAGAGTACTAAAGGACCAGCATAAGATGATACTGTCGACATTAAGCGTCCTTTTCTAAACGTAAATTATTTATCCAGTTTGCATAAAGCAGTGGTTATCTGTTTAATCATGATGGCCCCGGCCCTTTTTAATGAAAGTTTAGTTTCTCGGGTACTTACGCAGAATTGTCATGAACGATGTTTCCACCGGACATGCCTGTAGCGATGGAGAATGCAGAGCCGGAAAAAGGATAGCAACTAGGATGGACTTCTTAAATTTTGTTCATCATCAACAAAACAAGTCTTTTCCTACTTTGCGCAAAATATTTTTGTCTTTTCACAGCAGTAGATATAAGATATACAATACAACCAATCAACACTGTGCAGCAGATGTTTATACTGCCCAAGTCAGTGATAAAATCCGAGTTTAAACACAATAATCGAAAACATTAAGAAATTATAATATCGTGTACACAAGGGAGAACCAAAGAAAACAAATGATAAAAAGAACGGGCACAGATCTTGTTGAATCAACTTATATATTGCTGCATTAGATACCCTGATTGGTCGATAAGAGTTAACTTTCAGTAAACATCTAATATCGTAACATTGGATCGGACTATTGTGTTGCATGCAAATTAGATGACTTCGATGGCTCAGATTTTCTACCTGATGCTCAGGCATATTAACCGATCCCTCCTTGCATATCATAATCGGTCATAAGAGCTCTCTAGGCCAGAACATCGCAGACTGGCAGGTCTCAGCTCTCAGGTCCGAAATAATTAAAACGTATCGCATGTGTATCTTCTTAGACCAACATGGGTTATAGTAATGCGGGGACCGTTGTGGATTTCAATTCGGTCTGCAATTATATAAGTGATTGACTAAATCGGATGACCGCCAAGCGGGAGTGCGACTTATCACTCACAAGTATGATTACTGACCGAATTCGACAACACGAAGCCCTGTTACCAATTAATCATAAACATTGTAATTTCCGTGTAAAAAAAAGTTATTCAGCGATAGAAAGGCTTGAAACACTGACGCTTCTCACTTGTAAATTATCTTTATTTGAATGCCTTTCCTTTTCATTTTCGTGAACCAGTAAATTTTTTCAAATTTTCGTGTAGCGCTAAACTTACGACAAAGTGTTATCTGTTAAAATCTTTATTATGGCTCCTGATCTAAAGCAACATTCAAGTCAATACGGATAACTCTTAACAATTTATCGTATTACTTAATATATCGCCAAAATTACCCGCTATCACGGGCAGTTTCAACAAAAGGGCTTAGTGGCAACTTTAGGCCATGAGAAATCAGGTCGGAAGTATCAGAAAACTTAGCGAATATGGATTATCAAAATAAACATCGATTCAATAACGGTTGAACATCAATGAAATTGATTTAAAAGCAATACATCGGATCAAGACAACTGTCTTAAATGTAATACTTCATGAAGAAGCTCATGAAAAAGGTACAGATGGTTGGATGCTTTTAGACAGTGAATTGTCTGCACCACTTATTCGTGTGCTTGTTTAGGCCTTATATATTTGAGTTCTTGTAGACTGCATACATATGCATTTTTTTTTCTTTTCTTAAACAAACTTTGGCGATAAATTGACGCATAAGAACAATATTGGTCTTTGCTTAGTATTTTAGTCGATTTATAAACTAGTATGACGTCATACCGCGCTACTTTTCAACGTTAAGTTTTAAACGAATAAACGAAAACCCTGTAATCCTGGCTTTCGATTAGTAGGCCTCTCTCTGTTGTTATTTTGTAGACTGGTTATGAATGAAGAAAACCTTGCGCAGCAATTTTTACCTCTAACCTTTCATAGGGCCTCCACGCAACCCATTAAACACTTCATTTTTCAAGAAAGAGAAGAGTAAAATGACCAAGTCATAAGAAAGCGATATTGGCCGTGATTAGGGCAACTATATAAGTACGATTATCCTGGGTTAATATTCAATTGGAACTCTTCCAAATTGTTTATCTTCAACCTAAATTTTCACAGTTTTTCTAATAGAAAGAACTGCGATCAGTACTTCAATTACATTTTGCAAGAAATAGAAAAATTTTAGACACATCACTGGTTTGATTTCGATAACTTGAATTAAAGGCAAATAAACAGTCATAATGAAAAAGAAAATCTTTGATAAGTGGAAAATTCTTCACCTCTAGAAAATAAATAGTCAAAGGAAAGCGATTGATTTATCAGTCTTAACAGGGAGCTCGACATTTCAGGAATAATGCAACGCAAGCAAGTTCTTCCGGTTTATTTAGTCAAGTAAACCGGCAAGTTGCCCTACAGGCAAACTTGAAATTCAACCAAACTCAAGCCACTCACAAAACTGCAAAATTCGAAAATTTAGCCGAACACTCTCCTCGAAATGGGTGAAAGGATATCAAGGCTGATATCCGTGTCAAATGTGCAATTTTACTCAAAAACAAACGTGGGCCATCAGATGAATTTTCATCCACCGACTCGATGGTGCATCAACAGTTTTCCAGTTCAATGGTTATTTTAGGAAAACCTCCTAGCAAACACTACTATAAAAAGACTGCATCCATCCTTTTTAAAGCATCAATACAAATATTGAATTGTCATTGGACACGTTTTATGTCCACTGTATAATTTCCTACACAAATTTATTTATCCAGGTTAAACAACCTCAAACTGGCTTACGGAGCTTTTATTCGTTATCCTTGCCTACTTTGATCTAAATTCAATTGGCTGATAGAAATTAAGAATCAGAATAAATTTTCAATGAATGTCTATACTAACCTGGAATTATGAATGCAAGGAGATTATTATTAAATTTCCCTTAGAGCCTAAAGAGGAGCTCGTAATTTTTGTGTCGATAAATACAAGTTATTTGAATACATCTGCTTCAAGACGTCTGTTAAAACAAAAGGATACCTACAAATGATTACACAAAAGCGTACGTCAAATTTGTTATTCTCGTAAGCAAGAGCTTCCTAATTAAGCAATTCCTACGTAGATTAGGAATAACAATCGGAAATGTTTACAGCGCAGAACATTGAGCAACATCCTCGTTCTTTTCTTCCTGTAAGTTCTTGAGAAATATGAAAAATAAATATATATGCTTAGCTTTAGGTTAAATCCATAAATTCATAACAAAAGCTTTCCTCCGGGCAGAGGATTTGAAATCAAATCACAGAAAAACATTCCGCAGATTCGAACACCAAATTTAGCTTCCGTCAGTAAATCAAAAAGGTGTGTGACCGTTTTTTTTTTTTGTTTTTTTTTTGTGAATCGCGTGGGTAGTTCTGAATAGATAAAATTAGACGTGGAAAATTAATTTAAAACATAATTTTATAACATCCTGTGCCGTGATGAAGAAATGAATTTTTCCGCAGAAAAAATTAGTCGCAAGGCACCAGTAAGACAAAATATAGTTTTAAGTTAAAAGTAACATTCAACGAAAGTGAAAAAGTTGTCGGTCGCTGGTCACTTTTGAGATCTGTGACTCAGCGTGTCGCGTGATATTTTGCGAGGCGTTTTGGTGCGGTGCGTGTTCTACCGTCATGATGTGCGTGGGTGTGCACGGAGGTAAGAATAGGCGCATCATTTCAACATTTGCATTTGGTGTTGTTAGACGGACGTGACGAGAAGAGCGGCTTTTTCAAAGGAATGAATTGTTATGAATATCGGGCACTATAGATGCAATCTTGCACTCTTTCCTAAAAGGCGGATAACATAAGTTACATATATCTTGTGCTGGATTCCCTCGTTTTAACCAAGTAAGTGGCATGAAACACACCCTAATTGCCTCTGGTAATAATATCTGACTCTATTGTAATATTCATGAACGATAGTAGAAAATGCGGCGTAGTTCATAGACCTTAAACAGCCAATTAAAGGCTGAGATAGTTTTTTCTTGCTGAGTTAGTTATGTTACTCGAGGCCAGAAGAATTTGTGTGCCGATTTGAATTTTTTTTATTACTACTTGGCTCGTTACTCATGAATCAAGACAGTGTTTAAATTAATCAAATGCGTTTTGTGCAAATCAATGACGCATTTGGCTCCTCAGTAGTACAATTCAACTTCCTACACTCATTGATTTCAAAAATTTCTATTTTATTAATAAGGTAAAAAGACGCAAAAGGCCTTTATTGGTATCTCTTCATCCAGTAAACATTTTTTGGTACGGTAAATATCACTGCGGGAGCGTATCTTTTCTTTGCGGGATGCGGTCATGAAACGTAACTCAGGTCATTCTACAATGTAGTTGGGTAGTGGTAAAGATTGGAAAATTAACCAATAATGCACAATCGATAGACTCTATTACTTTAAAACGAATTTTTTATTTTCATGTCCACTGAACCTTGATCGTTTAAGATACTAGCCGTGTAACCATCAAGAATTTCGCATGTTAACTATCGACCCACGAACAGAACTTGGCTTCTTAACGAAATAAAACTCAGAGTTTAGGGCTACTGAGGCTGATCAAGAACGGCTCAAAGCGTATACAAATAGTAAAATGACTGTTTTGAGAGGGAGAACGATCTCTGTAGTTTCTGTTGAATTCAAAGTTCTACTGGAAAGACTTTCCGAATGCGTGTTAGGAGATGTTGTCTAAACTTCCATTGTACCCTCGTTATTTGTTAGTGTGAAATATCTGACTATGGCGCGCGGGCTTTAAGTAATAATAAAAAACATTTGGTAAGATAAACTGTAAAGACGACGGTTTTTAGTCAATGACACAGGAATTGTGAAACAAATATTGCGAACTAACCCAATGAGACAAAAAGTAGAACCAGTAACCTTTCGCTTTAACCTTCAGATGCTCTACCATTACTTACAGCAAATTCTTGGGTGGTGCCCCGTTTAAATTTTGAATCAATGAGTAATAATATTAATAATTAAAATGACAATCATACATTAAAGTAATCACAATCCAAAACATTCTGTGTCTCGCCAGGATTCCGGCATTTGCTATCACGGAAATGAAGGCTACTTTTTAATATGATTAAAGTGAAAGATTATGATGCTTTTCAGCCAGTCACACAGACCCAGCTTTGACAACTTTTGCTCTCTTGTCCATGATACTCGTAAGGAAAAATTCTGACTAAGAGGATATCGAACCTCTGATCTTCCGATAAGTGCTTCTGTCATTCTTCCTCTGAATTCTTCCAACGACGTTTTCGAGGTAAATTTGATCTCTGTGCTTTCACTACTCCTGCTGTAACAATGGAACCAGTCGAACCCGACTTCAGTTCATCATGTTCTACATACCATAACCCAAACTCCCTCGTAAATTTTAAAGAATTTATACTCTGAATTCACTAAGCCCTGTTACATAAAAGAATATAACGAGCTTAATATTCTTGTCCTTTTTCAGCATGCCAACCTCCGAAAGAGGATTGTTTCCTGCAATTTTACTTTGTCTCATTTTAGTGGTCTCAGAGCCTACAACTGCTGAAGCCTCGGGAAGACACAGATTGCCCACATCGAAAGGCGGCATCACTGTTCCAATCACACCTCAAGAAATTGGCCAAGCATGGTGTAAAACGAAGCCGATACGACAAACGATTCGCAAGCGCGGTTGTGAGTCCAAAATGGTTGAGAACAACATGTGCTACGGACAGTGCCGATCGTTCTACATCCCAATTCGTAAAGGTGCTTTTGAATCCTGCTCGTTCTGCACACCTGTCAATTCTACAACATTAAAGGTTGTGCTGAATTGTCCGACCAGGAAAATTAAGAAAGTTGTCAAAAACGTTAAAATCATCACGGAATGTAGTTGCCGAGTGTGCGCGAGTTTGAGGTACATATAAAATATTGATTGAAAAGTGTTACTCGATATTTTGCCATCGCAATAAAGTGCTATTTAGAGATGTATATTTGGAAATTACAAAAAAATACAATATTAGTACAGTATTACTATGTAATTGTATTGTATGTGAGTAAATCACAATTAATCTGACAAATTTCACACCGGGCTAGATTTACACCAATATATAAGCTTCATATTGAAGACATATGATCAATTTAGAGGTGTTGAACAATAAACTTTGAAAAGTTAGAAACGCTTGCCTGACCACTTTATTCTGTTCAAGGCTCATATTAGCTCCTCTACCCAATACGGAAGCTGATGTGGGCAAGACGTTGATTCAGTTCCTGTCTAAATTACGCAGGATGAATTTAAAAAAGCATCTTCAAATTAAAGCTGAAGTTTTTGATTGATCGATACTACAAAACCAAGCAAACGCAATGGCCAATTTTGATAAAGGTTAATATCATCATTAGCCGATAAGAACCCGAAATAAAAACAGGAAAACTATCAAAGTTAGGGGAAACGAGTCGAGATGGGGTTTCGTTTTGCGTCTAATTGGTTCAGGGGATGAGGCACGTTTTCTAGACCAATCGCAGGGCAAAGAAAAGCAAACACAAAGTAATCCCGCATCACTTTTGACATTCATTTGAAAATTCCTCTCGTCCATTTTTACAGTTCGGAGAAGTGCTCACACTAATTCCGATGATGCTTTTTATGAAAGCGCTGTCGTTGCTCCTCCTGACTTTTTTGGGGTAAAATTAGCCATTCATATACACATCCCCAATTTAGCAATCTGGCGTTTCTGCCGCATTTGACTGTTACATTTTAAAATTCACTCGCTGTTAAGTGGAAGGAAAACAAGAAAATATTTTTTGAGTGTGAAACATGCCTGTGAGGTGAAGAAATTCATATAGAGGAAGTCCTAGACAACCTTATACTACATTCACCCTGCCAAACGAGAAGACTGTCTCAGGTTGATTTGAAAGTGAATTCAACTGTTAAGAACTTCAAATAAATCAAAATTATATTTCATATTCTCAATAATAAAAATGATGGTAAATTTTACCGAAATATTCTCGAGATGAAATGCATAATGGCAGGATTGATCTGGTATAAGCTTGCGTTCTGCATACGACCACTTCAGTTTTAACAATTGATCATTGATACTTTTTTGATATGCATGCATGTTTGACTGGTACTTTGTATAAGACTTCTTCTTCCAGTGTCGTAAATGTGCAAGATTTGCTTCAAAAGCGCCCAGTTGAGGGTAATCATTCAAGCCTCTTTTGTTAGAGTAAAGCGTGGGAACCACCAACAGTCAGAAAGAAAGCTAGACATAGCATTTTAGTGTAGTATTATCAGTTACATACCAACGAAAGCATATCAGAAGAATAGGGCCTTCTACACAAAATCACAGAAATTTTAAGCCAAATACAGAATCGCCGTTTGCTCTCAGAAAAAATGCCATTTTTGTAATCTGTGACTGAAGTCTTTAACTTTTTCGCTGAATAGTACTGTGTAAATGACAGTATTATCTTTAACCTTACTCAGACAGAAAAGTTAACTCCCTCTATAAAATTCGGTTCAGGCAATGGAGAGAATCTGCCAGAGCGCGGCACTTTGGAATAATCTGCTATTTACTCGAAGACGGCTATAGTTAATATATAGATTTAGCCAAGCCTAAAAGCGGAGATCGCATTTTTTTCACCCGCACGTCTCAAGGGCACAACGCCTTGCCCCGGCCAGGGCTAGAACCCGGGTCGTCCGACGTGGAGCCCAGTGCACTGACCACTGGACAACTGGACAAAGCCGTGACCTTGGCGTGCCCGCGGCACAGTTGACCACGCATGTTAAAAGTAGCACTTTTTGCGGTCGGTCATACGGTCGTACGGTCATAAGTCCAAATTTTTTTGGCTGGATGGGTTGCTACTACCATTTTTTATAATTATGGGGCTACGCTCTGCGAGCTCCGCCATTATTCTTTTTTTTTTTTAACAGAAACTAATTACGCTTGCAATATTATCTTACCCTCATAGACTGTATCCTCCGACTTAAAGAGCACCTTTTACAGAACGACTTTTATGTATTTCGGATAATTTGCTGCTTTCGTTGTTGTTGTTGTAGTAAGGCAACGCGTGTATGGTGCAGCCGCGTTTTGGCGCGAATTTAGGGTTGAAAGGGAACTTGGGAAATAACAAGAAAAATTATTGAGACTAAAAGCAAAGGAACCTGAGAATTAACGTTAGAAACATGATTTCGTTTAAAAGACCCCCTTCTAATTTGGTTTTAAAAATAATCACAGTTTGTAATTTAAAGGATAAAAGGATGTGGGTGTCTTTGTAACACATCGCTTGAGAAATGCCGAAAAAACTTCTTCATGTTTAAACCTGACAGTACACAAGTTTCAGGAACATTTCTATCAGTTGTTTAGAAACTAGAAAGTTAGACTTAGAAACTTCCATAATTGTGCTCGACATAAATATGCGAACTCAAAAACAGAAGATACTAAGATTGTGCATGGCAAGGGAGCCGAGATGCATGTTTTGGCTGCTTTCCTGATCAGTCTCCACTTCTGTGGCAAAAGTAACCTTGAATTTGAATTACTGTATCGTTTACAAAAATAAAAACACACCACTTTACTCTATACGCTGACATAGAGTTACTATTATTATTATTATTGTTTTATTTTATTTATATGTAAAAATAATAATAACTCACCAAAAGTATCGTACGATTCCTTGAACGACACGGCAATTGGAGGAGAATGGAGTTTGGACTCTGCCCACATCAGGCCACTTATGAAATATTCACTTAGGCAGCCGGCAAAGGACTGGAGCTGTATATGAAGCTTGCAAAGCACTGTGGTCTGTGTGTTCCTTTCTCCATGAACTTTCAACATCGGTGGATTTTTCAACAGGAATCCATCAACTTGTTGTGTTTACTTCAGATTTCTTTCGGCAGATCCTATGAGTACTCAGATGGAAGTCTTGCGCTGCTTCAATTGTGACCACACCGGTAGAAGGCACGAGGATTTTTTCAATATTACTAAAATTCATCCGTCATTTGCTGAGAAAGCAGACTCGGAAAGTGAAGAACAAGAACATGACAAGTTTTTGAGAGAAAACGCTTTCCTAGTGTGTGGCGATTGCGTCTACGATCGTCTGCAAGAGTGTCATAGCTGTGCCAAGAAAGCGCCACTGTGCATGTTCAAAATTGCGGAGTGGTTCACTGACAAGAAAAATCGGATTTGTATCGATTGTGCCGCAACTCTCGAGGCGCTTGGATTATTTCAGACCGGCTATCATTCCAGTGTAATCATTCGCCAGTGCTCGGTTTGTCGCCATTTTAAGTATTTACCTTCGTTTATCAGTTGGAGAAAGCATCAGCCGCACGAAACATTGAAAGATTGCTTTGAATGCCAACTCCGGCGAGATATCGTGCAATATAAGAGGAAAGTTCGAGATCGATACGAAGAAAAACTTCAACAAGAACCTGTTCTTGGTGATGACATCCAACCGTCAAGGACAGGTGGCAAAGAACGGTTTGGGAAGGCACTCGCCCAACAGGGAGCAACTTACGCGTCTGTTGTTTCAAAAGGATTCACTAATGGTAAATCGTCCTATACTAAGAGCGACGAAGGCCATTTGGGAACTAAACAAAACACTGCACATCTAAACGTTCCGATCGAAAGTGGGCAGCAGAGAGGAAAGAGTCTTAGCACTGGTTTGGAAGGTAAGAGGCGCCGTACAGATTGCAGGTGTTTCCCTAAAAAAAATTGTATTTGACCAAAACCCTAAACTTTCCCTTCATCTAGTGTAGATGATCTGAATTCGCGTTTGCTTAAAATAATTTGCTGTATGTTTTTGTCGTCTAAACAGAGACAACACCACACTCATTTTATGATAAGGCTTGTGTAGTGATGAAAATATTTAAAGTTGATCGTGCACTTGGTCAATATTTACTATTCCATTTGGCATTTCTGATGCAGGTATTTTCATTCTCTGAAATTATGTTAAGTTTATCTTCGTGGAGCCTGTTTTATTGATTAATAAAGAAAATTTCTCGATATTCATTTGACTGAAAGTAATTACAGGTTACACGAGGATTACATGTTGTTTGCCATCATAGCGGAAACCAATTGTTTCCGGTGAGGAAACTTCGATCAAATTTGCAGTTTGGTGTCAGTAGAACCATTCCACTGCAAAAGTCACACCATCGTTCAATATTTAATATACTTGATGAAAATTCTTCAGAGATATGATTCTTTAATAGCTTTATGTTTATACCACTCGTGAAAACCCAACTCTCACATGACACTATCAAAAATTGTGGAATTTGGAACTTCTAAGTTATTATAGATACAGTTTGTCAACAGTGTTTTTCAGACACCATACATGTACTTTGGCTCTTTATACAGTTACTGTAGAAAATATTTGAACATAATGTGTCCACAGACAGCTCAGGCAGTTTAAGAGCAGTTTTAACAAGAAGCATTTGAATTTACATTTTACATGAAAATGTTCCTAATGAAGGAAAGATACCTTTTAAAGGATAAAATCCAAATTTATGGCTCACTAATGTACCTTGCTCTGATGTTATCTCTTTAACCATCTGTTTCCTTCTGGGGTCATTTCAAAGCCATTCCCAAGAGTTTTAGCTCTCAAGTTCTTCTGCCAACAATAAATTATTTAACAGCTTAAAGCAAAACAAGCAGACTCAAGCATACCAAGTGAATTCAAAACTTGATAACAACCGTCTACACTCCTAAGAACTTCCATCATTAGACCTTTCAACTTTCCCAAAAGCACTAATTTTTAATAGCTTTTCAGTTTGTATCTTTTCATTTCTGCAGAGGTGTTGGACCAGAATTCTTGTCATAAAAATTATTTCATGTATACTAGGGATTTAAACTGTGGCACTGTTTTTTCCTAAAATACGAGGAGGTTTATGACAGTGGGAGGTTACACAGGTTGATTGACTGTGGGTAGGTAAGAGTTAAGTCCAAGTGTCAACAACAGATTACAAAGTTTGCCATTTTTCCTATTCAACTCACCTTCAAAGTTATACGGTTTGTGTGATAAAACTTTGAAAAATTGGTCCATTTGTTTTGCAGAATGTTTTTGTATAAAAGTACTTGAGGCTCTGAAGACTTCATTCAGCCAGCTAGAGGAAAAAACTAAGCTAGAGCTCAAGCTTTTGCAATCAGATCCACATTTTTGGAAGGTTGCACTGAGGGACAAACTTTTGAGAGTTTCACAACTATTTTCGAGCCAGGCAACTGACCAGATTCAGTTTAATGATGCAGAATCACGATGGGCTTATCTTGGAACTTATACAGCAGCCCATGCTACCTTGATTCATGCTGTTGTGACGTCAGGTCAATTTGAGCCTCTCACAGAGTTTGTAAGGAAAAGTCAAGATCTAGAGAGGTTTGTATAGCTTGCTACAGTTATTTATTGCAGACCACAGATATATTCCATGTGTCTGAGAAATTACTAGACTTGATAAGGAGTGAGCATTGGTTTACATGTGTGTCAAACTATATTTATGCAAAAGAGGGAACTTCCACAGCAGACTGGCTGCATCTTTGCCCCACTTTATTATTTTTCATATAAAGAAGTAAATGCTCCTTTTGGATGTTGTTAAAAAAGATACATAAACAAGTCATACTTACAGAAATTTTGTTAAGCTTGTTGAATGAGGGTAATCAAACTAACAAGCAATCCATTTTCTTCATTCTTTTATTGTCAAAAATTTGCAACTGGGGTTTATCATCTTGTTTGGGAGCATACTTCTTTTTGGGGAGGGGAATGGGGAGGGTATGGCATGCTTTTTAATACCTTTACCCTGACTCTGACCTAAAGAATGGATTTTTCCCTGAATACCAAAGATCTGATGTTCTCGTCACAAGAGTCCTTGACATTTTAAAGCTTTTAGTGCTAACTTTTAACCTATTATCAAGAACTGCAAAGCCATTTACAATTAACTAACGTACTGGGCCGAGTTGTTCAAAGGGCAGATAATACCATCCAACCAATAAATCAGTATGCAGAAGAGAAGCGTTAACAAAAGGTCATGTGCTATCCAACTGATAGCAATTTATCCAGTGGATAGCATTATCCACCCTCTGAACAATTGGGGCCTGAAGTGTTCTGTATGTGTTCTCTTTGTTTTTCCAGTTTCTTTAAAAGTACAGACTGTTCTCAAAGAAAGACATTCGTCATTTTGAAGAAAGACATTATTATTAATACTGAACTGAAATAGTTGCTTATATATTGTCTCATTAATTTACACAATCATGGTGTTCTCCCTAACTAAGCTCTCGAGAAACTCATTTGTAGCTGCCTTATTTCATATTTTGTTATTCACATGTACATGAATGTGACTGGCCAAGTGATAATTCATTTTTGTTTAGGTTGCAAGTATGCTGCCTTGGTGCAGGACCTGGTAGTGAGATTCTAGGTCTCTATCAGCTGCTTCCATCCAAGACTCAGTGGTTACTTTTAGACAACTGTGAGCAATGGTCACACACAGCTCAGATTCTATTGCAAGATGTCTGCAATGTATCTTTCCAGTACAGTGCTTTTGACATTTGTAACAGTGTCAGCCATAGAAGCAGGGGAAATTCACCACCATCACCAAACTATGCTTTCAAGAAGGTGAGTTGAATAGCTATGTTCTGTAAGTAACAGTTTCTTGTTGATGTTTTTTTGTGTTTGTGTTTTCATTAAGTAAATTTTTCCTAGTAAGAAAATTATCTCTCTATCCTAACCCTGAATCTGTATTTTGTTTTCAATCAATATAATGGCATTTTTTTTATTTATTTTTTTTTAATGGGACCAGTATTAGCTACCATCAATGGCTATTTTTCTTTCTGAACTAATAAATGATTCATAAATGGCTGTAATGTGAACCATGTGGGGAAAAGAGAGGTTGATTTTCTGTTTCTGGGCAACATGATATAATGTGGGTAGAATTACTCTTGATGTACAAATAGTTTTTTGGGAGTCATTTTTTTAAAGGATTTGGGGCATGACAGGATCTTTTATGAATGTGGTGGATCTCTTCTATGATCTTTCAGGTTCCTGGAAAGATTTTGTACAGTAGTGTTTTATTAATTCTGTCTAGCTAGCTATTTTTCAAAACACAGTTTCTTAATTAGCAACATCACAAAAGATCTTAAAGGGCCCACTCAAGAGTTTCATTAGAAATTGTTCTTTCAACTAATACCTGTTGATGTTAAAGTCAGTGATAGTGTCAGTGGAAGCAATAGCCATGTTGAATTTTTGTCTCCCCCTTCGAGAAAGATAATTTTTCTTCCATGAGTATATTGCCCCTAAGGTCTTATACTTTTGGCTGAACAACATGTTTTTCTTGTTTCTACCTTCAGGCAAAGTTGTTCCTGCTATCAAAATTTGTGTCTGCTGTCCAGAATCTTCCTGGATCTTTCCAGTATCTTCGTGACATTATTAAGCGAGCCTCTCGAGGGTCATTGTTCCTTTTTGTGGACAATGCTCACATTCAAACCAAGAACTTCATAGAAGACTTGATATTCCCTTCACATGACAGCACAGAGCAAGAGGAGTACAAAGAAAACAAATCATTTAGGTTGTATACTACTTATGCAGAACTTAACTCCGATCGTGAGGAAGGTTTAAAATCGGCTGCTATGTGTGAATGGGTAAGTCTTATCAGTTACTGGCTGGACAGGAACCCAATACTGGACTTGAGGGTTAATGTTCATCTGGCTGTCAAAAAGGTGTGAGAGATACAAACAGAAGACAACAGCTACAGCCATAATTAAGTATACCTGATATTTTATAGTTTGTAAAGAGTGTTTTTTATTTTGAATTTTCCCTAAGGGATATATTAATGAAATTTCTATTTATTGAACAGTAATATTTACTTACATTTGTTTAAAATCATTTTTTTTACTGTATTTTGCCTGTAATAGAGATCTGTTTCATGTACTTTATTTGCCTTAAAGGACCAGTACATGAGGAGTCACAGATACAATTTGCTATCTCTTTAAAATTCTCATTTGTAAATCTATTAGAAAAGGGAAAGGCTTGGTGTTTTGGGTATCTAGCAAACAAACAAACAAACAAACATAAAGAAATAAAAACCAATTTCCTAGATAACAATAAGAGACTGGAAAAAAAAAGCAAAAGAAGGAAAAATGAAAAAAGAGTCAATTGTGATAGCTAAGAAATAATCTTCTTACCAGGGAAATCCATCTTGACACAAAATAGTAAAACAAAACTGTTTTATAAAAACATGTGAAGGTTCTAAATTTTTTCTTGGACACAAGCAAGGAAAACTGGACTTATTCCACTAAGGCAAGGGTTTTAAGGTAACCATCCCTAAAGAGATATTTATCCATGCTGTGGAACTTGTTGACACATTACTATTTTTTAATTTATCAAGACAAAACCACCATTGACAATCTTGGGGTTTGTCGTAATATAACCTTTTCAATGTTTCAAGGTGACATAAAAAGATATTGTGTGATTTTACTCTTTGTACATTTTAAATTTCTTTTCAAACTGTAACTGAATCAGTTAACCATTTTGACATGTCTTTGGCATATAATTTTTTTTTTTTTTTTTAAATGTGAGGAGTTACTATCTGTTGGTTTATTTAATGAGCGCATTTTCATGATGTTGTTTTATTTTGTATTTTGGAAAGCAATTTTTGGCAAACATATGTAAATTAGGCTGGCTCTAGTTACATTGTGCCATGGGCTTTTCTGTTACTTTGTACCTGTTCTTTAGTTGAATCTTATCACCACTTTACTTCCAAACCAAACTTGCACATCCTATGCAACCAGGTATAGACTTCCTGGTTGTCCAAAATATGGATCCTGCTTTTTATTTGGATAAAGTGGTGTTTGTTGTATAGTTGGTAACTTGTTTTTGTGAGAGATATAAGAACTCTTCCATCCCACTGCTGGATAGCGATTTATCCAGCAAAGATACTCAGCCTGAACAATCAGGACTAGTCTGTATTGGTAGTAGACACATGAATATGTATGCACTTGTGTGTATTCTATTCAGGAGATATTTATTCTGGACTGATTGGTAAAACCCCTTTAGTCAAAGAATTTTTCCTTGCCAAACAAACTGGTTTGGTACCATTAACAGTCCATTTGTGATATGACTCAATCTATATCTGACCAACATTGCGAGACAATCAGTAATACCTTGTAATGAACTAGCCATGTAAAAATTATAAAAAGCAACAAAAAATCAAAGATTTTACAACTGTGATGTACATGTTTGTACAAAAATTAATAAGAAACTTAATTGGGTCTTTAGCTGTTCATGTGCGTCTAGTCAAGGATAGTCTGACTAGCACTTTGACCCCTAATAGTGATAACTAGATGAATTATCCCCCAATAGCACTGTCAAACAGACAAAGGACTAGAACTAATGAATTATAAACAGAATATTGTCTTTACATAGCCCTTAATGCGTATGATTAGCCTACAGGTACTGTAAATGTATGACCATGAGTTAAGGAAATTACATACCAGTAGCTTTAAGATGTCCAGAGGAGGACGTTAAGTTGGGTTAAGATTTCTTTGGAAATTTTCAGAGTGGTTTAATTGACATCATTCCCAGGAGGAAGATGTTCATTGATAGTTTGTTTTAAAGTGTACTTACTAGTTTCATTTCAATTAGAGGTTAATTAAAAAAAAAAAGAATAAAAACATTTATAATCCCTAGAAAAAAATAAAACATTTATTTTGATGTAAATGTAAATTAGAGTATTTAAAAGTACATTAACAGATTAAGATCTTATGCTTTGGTTTGTCATAACGTAATTTCCTTGAAAATCTGAGTTTGATGTTTTAGCTATAAACATGGACATTTGAGAACATGAAAAAAATTATGTAGGGATGCTAGTCATTTGTTTTTTTTTTGTTTTTTTTTGATGCAGTTCCCTCAAAATTCTCGGGTTTTTTTTCAAAGGTCTTTTGCAGTTAATAATTTTAATTTTCAATTGTGAATGCAAAAGTAATTGGCAGTAGAACAGCTCCTTGTGATAGTGGGTACCACATGAAGGTACATATACATGAAGTTTATTGTCATTGTGATAATTAATCCAATTTGTGATCAGTCTTCTTTGATGATCAAAGTAAGATAAAGAATAATCCTAGGTTGTTTTATTTCCTCAAAAATCTCAAGTGAAAACTAAACACATTCATACTTACATACATGTCAACCTTCTTCTTTTGCCCATTCATTTTTCTCTTCTTGGGTGGAAGGGTACAGCACAAGGAGCTGTTGTCTTTTAATCCCTTAACTCCCAAGACCTCATTAGTAATTCTCCTTACTGTCTGCCAAATAGTTCTTGTGATGTTAATTTTGAGAATTTGGTAATGCATCAACTAATAATTCCCTAATTAATATTTTTATTTATTCTCATCACTTGTCTCTTTGATATTGTATTGATATTGTAAGGAGAAATTCTGACTTGGTCACTCATGGGAGTTAAAGGGTTAAAATGTTCTAATCAAGGGAATTACTTTATACAGATGGAGTGGGAAATAAGTGAAGTAAACCATTAGAATTTGTTGACACTTGAGTGAGGTGAAGGGTAAAGCCTTTTAATATTTTCTTTTGGTTCTGGGCAACACCTCTGGACTCTTTTGTTGACAATTTTCTTGAGGTTTACTTCATTACATTTATATGAAAATTGGTAGAGGAGCATTTTTATATACCGGTGGTTACAGTGGTGCAAGTTGTAAAGGATATTGACTTAAAGAAATTAGACTTTCACAGATTTGGCTCTGATATTGTTCATAATTGAACGCTTTATTTGTTACCAGGCTGGTCCTTTGAGGAGTTTTATCACTTGTAAAAATACAGTTTTATATGCAAGGTGTGGTTTGTCATTTCTTATCACTGAAAGTTAAGGGTTCAAAGAAGTAATCTGAGTGTATGAGTTTACAGGGGCCCAGGATAAGGAACTTTACAAAAGAAGCTGAAATTTTTTTTTCACAGATGACGCTGATACAGCAAAAGCGAAAATTTTTGACAGTTTTATTTTACAATTGTAAAGTCTAAGCGATATTGATCCATTTCTCTTGCTGTAGCCATGGCAATAAATTTTAACCTGAATTTCAACTGATGGAGTTACTGATAGAAACCTTACAGGGTTACATAACTCGTATACTTCAGCAGGAAATTGTCACTGGCCGGATGGGTGTGTGCGGAGATCTTCCTTACGGGGGCGGCACAGTTTTCACTTAGTCAGCAAATGAGCGCCTGCTTGTTTGAGTGATCAATTTGGTCTATCAATTGTTAAAACGAAGATCGGGTTTGAATTCATCCTCGGCTGGGATCATTTCAGTTAAGAAAATCCTCGAAACTTGACCAATGACATTATTACTTGTAATGTATTATGACATGAGGAGCCGCATGAATTAACCCTTTACACCTAACATCAGTATGCATATTCTCCACACTGTCCTTTATACATTTTCTAGGGTGCTGACAAGGAGAATTTGTTTTCCAATCAAAGGGCTTCTTTCCTGGTGACCATTTCCTTTATTCTCATGACCTTAATGTGTGATTCTGGATTGATATTGTAGGGAGAAATTAGATGATAGTCACTCTTAGGGTGTAAAGAGTTAATATTCCCTACGAGTATTGTGAATAACCAATTGAAAGTTCCTAATAAAATCTTACAATGGCACTTTTTCTTCATGAGAACACATTGTTCTTGGGGACGGTAACCTGTTGTTCTGAAAACCAGTTCGGGTTGACAATGTAGTAGTGTTTCTTTCTCTCCAGTGTTGGCTGGAAAAAGCAAGTATCGCGCACGTAGCGTACGTCCTTTGGATGCTTAGACAATAGAGTTGAGGATCTGGGAGCCACCCTCCCCAGTATGTTCTTATCTCGTGACAGTGAGAACTTGGCGGAGGCTTTTTCACGTGAGGATGTGGTTACGTGGGGGTATTTTTCGGAACCTGTAGCGCTATGGGAATAAATCATCCTTGAAAGTGGTTGCACTGGTTCTAACGATGAGCTTTCGTGCGATGAACTATCCTGGTCAACTTTCTCACAAGGCGAGCCTCCATTTTTGGGAGTTGAAGCGATAAACCTGCCATCTGTAGGAACGTACGGAAGTTTTGTTGAGTGGTAACCTTTTCCCTCCAAAGAATTGTTGCGACCTTGCACGGAATCTCTAGCACCTCCAATTTTTCGCCCCAGGTATTTTTGTTCGGGTTCGTAGCTTGTCATTCTGGCGGCAAACGGTGGTCTGAGATAGGTTAGCTTAGTGGCATCCCCCAATTCATACTTCGAAGCTACTGTGGGCCGCCGAGGTCCGAGCCATGTATATTTCGGCACTTGACTGTACAAGACAGGTGCATTTGAGCGGCAATATCTTGTGTTATACTCGGTTTGAAATGGCTTGGTAAGAAATCTATTGAAGTAGCTTTGATACCCTGGGTAAAGCAACTCCATTTTGTTCCTCTGTTATAGCGGTGATGTGGAGATTTCAGCAGTTCAGCGTTTAGGGAAACCGTCTCAGTTAAGGTTTGTTTTCACTTCTGACACAAGGGGCTGAGGTTGATACTTTTCACAGCTCACACGAAAATTGATTCAATCTATAATTCGCAGCTCCAGCTAGTATTCAACACTCAACCCACAGCTTCAATCACAAAAATGTCAAACAAACTTCAGTTAGAACAATCGGTCTCGAGCTGTTTGAAGACTCAAAGAAGACTTTTAGACATTTGAAGACTGAGCTACGGTTCTAATGCACTTGCTTTCGGTGCTTAACTTTCTTGTGTCCAAATTGTCAACGAAGGTAGTTGCTATGGATAGTGCATTAACTGTGATAAATTTTTAATAGGAAGCGTCTATTTTGAATACCAATCTCTGTAGGAAATAGTCATGATTCTCGCACGGCATGAATTGGAGACAAAACAATCGTAAACAATTACCATTAGCATGAATTGATAATTATACATATCTGAAATGAATATCATGTGAAGCTGTTTGCTCTACAGATTGATTTTCTCTCTTCATGAGATTAGTCATTTTTTGATAAAAATAACACCTCCACAGTACTTTTGCCGATTCAAAACAATCATACAATTTGTTATACGTTCCTCAGTTCTATGCGCTCGTGAAAACAGCCTATAGAGGCGCTCAATTTTTGCATAAACGTAACTTCGTGCTATGAATAGCTTGCGCAGTGCGGGAAGTCGACTAAACTATTGTTCGTGGTGTAAAAAATAGATTGCATCTTTTCACAATTCGGAGTCTGTGAGGTTTCCATGGTGAGAATGGAGAATGGATAGTTTAAAAGTTGACCACCTTCTTTTCTAATGCGATTGTTTTCCCCTGAAATCTAAACGTTTTTTCCATAGTTCAAGTGATATTTCTTGACAATGAAAATGTCCTTCACTTTTAAGTTTTAGAAAAACATGCAAGTAAATAAAAAATAATATGTGCACTATGAAGGCTAGAACGTTGGCAGATTTTGAGTTTGGTCGTCAATTGAAAAGATTGATTCCAATCGATCGAGAGCAAAACTGCTTCCTGTCGAAGGGAAATAATTTCGAGTAGCCCTCGTGGTCGATAATAGAAAGAGGAAATCGCTCTTCGCGGTTTAATTGCTTTTCCTCAACCTTCAAATTTAGACCAGTCACAAGGCTACGAGCAAACCATAGATGGAAGAAGGACTGTTACGTTTCAGCAAGAGATTGTGATCTCTTGGTTTCAGAAAGACCTTCACACTGCACCTCGAGTTTAAACAAATGTGTATTTTACAGACTCAGATGCTGTAATGACAAAATTCTGACGAAAGCACTCAATTTTCCAAAATGAAAGTGTAAACACTGATTATCATTTTTATAGGTTATGTTAATTTGATAGCAGGGTCGATACTCATTAGTAATTCATCAGTGATTATTGGCCTAAGTCAGACCGAGCTAACTTAACCAAACAAAGTATTCTTGCGTATAAAGTAATTCCTACGCTCGGATACCCAGTCTGGGCTAATGACAAAGAAGCCTCTCGTTGGCTCGTTCGCCGGATGGAAGAAGCACTGTTTGTCAATGTAACGAAATTCTTTCGGATAACGCGAAAGTTCACTCTGCGGTCTTCGTGCCACTAAGCTGTGGGGTCGGTTGAGTAAATCTTTCCTACCAGGTCTTTCGTGCCTCGAGCCTGCCGACATCGGAATCGTAGATTTCCGACCACCGCTTCGACTCAATTCGGAAATGTTGCTGCTGGGTCTTTGAACAGCACTTTTTGCTCTTGCGGTTGGCGATGGCTGTAATCCTTGCAGATTTATTCTGGCAGGATGGTTTCGCCTTTGGTGAAATGGTAATTGAATCACCCGAGAGGTCTCTGGTTTCTGAGCCTCGTCCCATGCAGACATCCTAACACACGGCCTTAATCCTGTTGGAATTCGGATGTTCTGTATTGGGACACGTTCCCCTGTATAATTTGTCGCATATTCACTCTTGTAGGTTAACTTACTGATTGTCTCTTGCAAAAGTCCTGGCTCCTTTCCGTATTTTGCCGGCATTTCGTTATAAAAGTTTTCCAAAGGCAAAGCTGAATGAACGGCTGCTCTTTTTGAGAACACAAAATTGTGGCGTCTTGCTTGAAATTTGGCCGAACTCGGCGCTGTAATTACGTCAGGGAAAGATGTCAAACGACTTGTTAAAAACCTTCTTAACGTCTTATCTCTTAAATTCAGGGTATATTGGCCGTGAGCTGTTAATCTCCACTATAAATGGTTTTTCACGTTCAGGACTAATCAGTTGTCCCAAGCTCATTTCGTGGGGTACACAATATTGCGTTACTTGTCGTCAGTAGCAACGCAGATCGTTTACATATTTCATTACTTAGGATAACAACTTTAATTCTTTCCGTTATTGTTATGCAATTACTGCTTTCTTTTCTGGACTCAATCAAACGCTATTGTGCCCAGAGTAAACAAACTAGTCTCGGCAAGGTTCAAAGCTCACATTTCTATCTCTGGCTGGTCTGATCGAATGAATCGAGCGTGTCTTTGCCGGTGTTACTGGAGTTTTTTCAGTCACCGGTGGGTCATCGAAAAGCCAAATTTAAGATCGAGCCTTTTCCTTTTCGAAGTGCTGAGTACCATGACAGTACTGCCTTTAAAGAAAACCAACGGACTTGGTGAATGGCTCATTCAGTTTTAAGTTTGTATAGGTTCCATCACGGCCCCAAAGTTCTTCCACCTCAAGCACAAACATGACCAGAGTTCTCAAATGCGGGTCATAGTTAATCCTCAAAAAGCCATACTTGTCGCATAAAACAGGAAAGGCACCCCCTCAGTCTCTCGTGTGACATGGGTTTGGCGAATTACGTTCAGCGATTTTAAGAAAAGCTCGAAGAAAGAATAAAAAATTTGTCAATATTTATTTAAGAGAACCTCCTTACACTGTTAATGCAGTTGTTACAATAAACACTTCAGAAAACAAGTAACATTTCTTGAAGAGTTCTAAAAGTCACGGCATAAGTCACGGAATAACTGCTCCTAGAAAAAGAAAACATTTTGGGCATCAGTTTTCTGCTGCAGGCAAGGTGATGCAATGGTCCAGATGAAACAGAAGTTACTTGAAGTTTTGTTCTTTATAAGTAAGCGCAGCATTATTATTCGATATTATTCACTACTGCTGGGCCCAAAATAGCTTCTTGTGCTTGAAATTAAATTACTGTGTTTACATTCTTCAATCATTGGTTGTTGATGTGTATGGTTTAAATCCATTTTTATTTATCATATTCTCACGCCTTTTTGCTTTCGGACTGTGCGCTGTAAATGGAACTTTCATCAACTGCTGCTGCTGCATGCAATTCCGACGAATAGTAATAGAAAACACACACTTTGCCCGTCTTAGGCATTCTTACTTATAACAAAATCTTGCTTTCATTGAAAATAGAACGTGCCATTGCAATTCGAAGTTAAAAACTTACGCCAACGTTATTGGATCAAACGATTAATGATTAAAAAGATAGGAGATAGCGAGAGTCCGCGTTGTCTTCAAGAAAATGGATTGTTCTTTCGCACAGACCTCTCTGACACCCAGTCTGGTCTGACCGTAAAATAAGTCCTTTCCTCTTTGGTTCCATTGTAAAACGCGTTGCTATGCAAGAAGACGTAGTCTCCAAGACCTCCACTTCTAGCAGCAGGTACATACCCTGGTTGGAAGCTCAGGCGAGGCTGACCACGAACGTATTCGGGAGGTCGACGATACATGAAACTCGACGCAAGTTTGATGTGGGGTTGAACAAGTTTTACCTTTGGAGTAAAGCTAAAGCGATACTCGGACCTCGAGGGATGTGCTTTGTTAACTGTCATACACAGTAGTGGAGGTAGTTTGACGTTTTCAGGCATAGTATTAGAGATGAGATGATACCTTGGAATTCAATGACCACGCTCCAAATAGTTGACGTTTTGTCAAATCCGTTCGTATTTTGATCGATAAGGAATAGGATCAGCGTTATTCTCGAAATAAACAACAAACTGTCTGTCTTCGTTACAATAAAATGGAACCGTTTTTCCTTATTTCCATTAGACATTCATACCATAATGTTTTATATCAATGTCACTAAACCACCATTACGCAGCCTTCCAAAAATAAACGTTGGTCTCAGTCTGGTCCGTGTGAAGATCAATGGTGTAGGCAGGAAGCCTTTAGTAGACGAGTTGAGTTTTTTGCTTGTTTGCTCATTCAATTTGCTGTAACTTCAGTGAAGTGATTGTACATCGCACGAAAGACGTCTCTAGAGGATACGTTTTATTGTTTGTGTTAAAATCCCTTAATATAATGCTCTTAGAGAGCACAATAATCCATGACAATACCATGGTAATCTCTCTTAGTAGCAGATAGATAAGGTGATCCTGAGGTTTAAAAAAATCATTGATAAAAATTCCGATTTTCCTCTTTAAAAAAATGCACCACATAATAATCATAGATATATGAAAATCATATATGTGCATTGCGGTGAAGAAACGAATAAAAGGGATCCTCGCAGCTATGAACACTAGTGAACTAGTCATTATGTTTGACCGAATTCCCAGCTTGGCTTGGCTTGTTAGCTCAGTTGGTAGAGCACATCACCGGTATCGCAGAGGTCATGGGTTCAAATCCCATACGAGCCTGAATTTTTTTCAGGTCTTATCCCAACTACTAGTTCAGTGGTGTTCATAGCTGCGAGGATCCCTAACGTTCGATGCACCATATATTTACTACGCCTTAATTTCCAAAACAATGACTCCCTTTTTGCAGCAAGAATGTTTTGTTTATTCTATTAGCGATAACCATATTATGCTCTAGTCGAGTTGTATTAGGAGAATTGGATCTTCAAAGACCGGCCAACGATTTTAAAATTTTAGTATGTGAAACCCAGATAATTTAGTTTTACACGCTAGATTAGCTGAGAACTGTAACTTCGCAAGTCTTTGAGGTCATTTTCTCCGTAGATCCAACCCTTTCAGTGCTATTTGCCTGGAGCAATAAAAATATAAATGTTTGAAGAAAAAAAGATCAGACCTCTTTTGAATTGAGGCTCAGAAATTTTCTCAATGAGATTTCGCCAAAGTGTGGAATAGAAACAGAGAAATAAGAACATTTCCATCTTGCATGGGAACACTAAAACTCGTTCTGGTATATATCATGTATAAAACCGACGATTTGACTGAAGAGGAGATCTCTTGTAAAAATATGGACTCAATGGTAAAGTATTGGAGCCACACAAGAATCAAAAGTGGCAGAGAAATAGACCCCGAGAATTTATTGATAAGAAAACCAATCCTCATGGTGACAAAGAATATTCTTCAAATAGTCATAGCTGTGATAATCTCAACGAGGGAGGCTTTGGGTTTTTGGGGTTTGCGGTTTTGGCCGCAAAAAAAAAATTCGGTTTTTCGGTTGTGGTGTTTTTCGTGGTTTGCGGATTTTCAGTTTTTCAGCGTTTGGTTTTCGCTTTTCGTCAAAAACACTATCGGGACTTCGGATTCGGTATGCGAACGGGTTCCGGTTTCTCTTCGATCTGAGCAGCAATTTTGCGCCTCCACTGATCTCGAATAGCTGCGAAACCTCTGTATGCTCCATTTGTCACCAATGTTTGGGATCGATTAGGGTTTTGTTAACTGGGATGTGAAAATTTATCGGTTTTAACGATTTTGCAAGCGGTTTTCGGCTTTGACCGATTTTATTTTTGTTTTTGTTTTTGTTTTTTTTTGCAGTTTTGGATTATTTTTTCTACGGTTTTGCGGTTTCTAATAAACCCCAATGCCTACCCCCGCCTCAAGCCAGTACCACACAAATTATCAGAGCTATGAGTCATAGAGAATGGGTCACTCTTCGCAGAATCGTTCTCCCATATTTTATATTACATGCAGAAATTGCGTGCTCACAGCGTCTCAAGACGACGGTCCATCACGTATCAAGCTACATTTTATATGCAGGGAGACAATTAAGTGTTTTTTTTTCACATTTGAAATCGCTCACAGAAGTATCAATATTAGTTTTTTGGAAGGTTTTATGTTTTCCCGCAACAATTAGCCCTGAAGTCCTGCTTTTGTGTTTGTGTGTTCAAGGACAACCGTATGACTACCCCCAAATTAAAAAGATTTCTTTGTTCTTTGTATAACCTTGTTTAAAAACGCTTCTTGTGTCGTGCTCTTCACTTGACCTTAGTGGAACAGCTGGTAATAGATTACTTTTTGGAAATTGGCAGACTCACTTGAGAGTGTGTTCCTCTAAGCAAACGGAAGACAAAATGGAGAATTCTCCTTTTTCAGGAAGACTAAAAAATCTGTTTTACTAGTTCACCATAAAAATCGTTTCATGAATAAGTATTATTATTTTTTTTATTTTTTTTTCTCATTCCTCACATTTTCACATGTGGCTAATGGTTATTAAACTTTTGTGTTTTACCAAGATAATATCGTATCTTCAAGTCAATAATTTTCGTGATTCTCATTCCCCGTTTGTCATTCACCGATGTAAAGCTAATGAAAGTTGAAGTTACATGTTCATCAGAACGAAAATTTTAATAACAATCATATCACCCGCACATTTGTAAATTGCCAGTGCAATGGCGCATCTTAGCTCTTTTTACTTCGCCACAAATCCTGCCTATGAAATATTAATTCTGAAGATCTCGATGTGCATTTGCGTTATTGAAGCCCAGAATGTCGGCGAGTTCTTCGCTACGACTGTGAACCAAACCGAGTTCCAGATTCATCAGAAAATCGTGATATACTTCACGAATTTGCCATTGTTCAAAATCGTATTAATCTTGGTTAAAATTTCTTAACGACCATTATGCAAGATATTGACAGATGTTCTCACACTGGGACCTTAATTATTTTGAAGCGTTGATGATATAAAACTATTAGAGAAAATTCCAAACACCTTTACTAGCTATTTTTTCACCATGAAAAGATGAACACCCAGCAAAATGAAATCCGATGAGGTGTCCTTTTTCTACACGCAGCATAAACTACATTTATAGGATAGTACGCGTAAATTGAGCACGTGTATTAGCCAAACCGAACGGTAATTAGTGACTTGTTTGTACATACATGACAGGTGAAAGTAAATTGCTTGATAAAAAGCGAATACAGATGCAAATAAAAAGATTCTGAGGCTTCGCATCACGTACTTCGCATCGCATCTTAATTTGCCATTTACAGTGCCGTGTTGCTGCAACTAAGAAAGAACTCAATCAGACCTTGAGAGATCATCATCAACTGGGGAGTCAAACAGCTAAATTACGAATGGGATCTCTCTGGGTGTCCGTCATCGTGATGGTACGTTAAGTTGAATTTTACCACGATTTCTAAACATTTAGGTATTTTTAGCTAACTAACTCGGCATAACCTTCACACCATCGTCAGAAATTGACCCAAATTAGGTGTTCCCTGAGTACAAAATTAAGCTTTGAATGGAAGAGGCGAGAATTAACTCTTTACCAGTTACAGTACGCAGAGAAATTTTGAAGTAAATTACAATAGCATACAGTGTTAATTAGAATTCTACATAATATTTTTGGGGTAGGTTTTCCAATTCTCTTTCCTTGTTTTTAAAAAGGACAACCCCATGAAATTTGTTCTGATGCGATGATCTTTCACGAACTTTTAGTTAATCTGCGTATATGAATTTCTTTCATAAGGAAGCGAAAGTGGTGACCGGAAGTAAAATCATTGTAGGGAGGGACTGAAATTTCTTGTACGATGTTCTTTTAAGAGGGACAATTTGGCGTATCACATTTCGATAGACACTCGATGGTTTTTTTTGTTTTGTTTTTTAACTGAGTGTGACAGTTAATTCGGCAGGATTGATATTGAATAAAACTAAAATTTTCGGTTTCATCACGCACGAAAAGCAAATCTGCCTAAGAATGGAAACAATTAGCATCCTAAAAAAATCATTTTTCGCGGAGCCCGCAATCAAAACGTAGTTTACGGCAAACAAACGTTTTTTCGTTTGTAGATGGTAATTCTCAAAAATATAAAAATTGACACCAGAAAAATTTCAAGAATAAGATAAATTAAATTCTCCTCCTACCAAGAAAAGTACGTTTTCTCGTGTTTGAACTGCAAATCTGTTCACTCATGGAATTCAGATGTATTGAATACGAGGAACACGGATGGTTTGACATGGGTCGGATTTTAAAAACCTGGAACTGGGCCGAAGTCTAAGATATTCCCATAACAACTTAACGGTCGAGGTTTTAAGTTGTTTATCATATGGCTTAGGAACCAATCAATTCGAAGCTTTAACTTCCCCCCTCCCTTCGGGGCACCCACGGGTAATTGACCGTTGGCCGTGCCCGGAGGTGGGGAATTTGAACCTTGCCTGGCTGGGGAGGGGAATTTGAACCGGAAGTGTAAAGTTTTTCATGGTAAAGAATTCCCTTTCGTGAGCAAATTGCTCAGAAGAAAATTTCTACAAGGTGAAGGCCTTTAGTCCAGTGTGGTATATACTAATCAGTGATAATACAAACCAAAACGTCTAATAAGATACCGGTATTTATATATACTAATTTCCCAGTATCTAAGACGTTCGGACGAAAACCGCTGAAAACCTACAAGTTTCAGAGTCGAATTTTCGTAGCAACTGAATCAAAACATCTACTCTAATCTAGTAGCTAACTTAGTAGTTTGCTGCGTAATTGATTTAACCTTTCTTATTACCTCTCGCTCTTTTATCCATAGGCTTTTTTGGGATTCACCATTCCAATATCGGGTAAGCAAGTTCCTTTTTTTACACCATAAATATAGATCGGGCAGGCAACTTGCTCACACCTCGTCCACTTCCTCTCCCTCTTCAACCTGAGCTCACGGAGTTTTCATTAGATAGCCTTAATCTATATTACGATATCATCCTCCAGGTAGTTAACGCGACCGCCAGTTCTCGATTAGATGAAAAACATAAGTTACCATTTTAGCCCTAACACTCCACCAGATAGCTTTACGAGAGTGCATGGCTAATTTCCCTATGGTACTTTCTTGGGTCAATTGAAGTTGAGTGTTTGGTGAGCAATGGAATTGAATGCTTCCTATCCCTCACAGCTTACAGCGACTGCACTCAAGTAGACTGGAATATCACTCTAGGTAGTGCAGGATGGGCGAGCTGCCCACTTGGAAAGTACCTGAAAGGAGTTTTGAGGGCGCATATCAGCAACTCCGACGGTATCGATAACATCAAAGCAGGGCAATGCTGCATTCCACCTCATGAGTTTCTGGACGAGGATACTGAGTGTAAAACAGAGAACTGGAAAAAATCATTAAGCAGGTAAGTGTTTGTGTAGATTTAGGCCTGACTTTCTTGCGCAACGGTTCAAGACACTTGGAAATGTAGGCATGTGTTGATATCTATCCCTTTTATCTCGTTTCGCGTTAAATTTTCTCAAACGTTGTTTTGTTTAATCGGTACCCTGCGTCTAAAAAAGCATTAATTTGTTCAAGAATTTCTTGTTGTGAATCCCTCAGCTGTCTTTAGAAGTATGAGAAAGATAAACTGAAGGAAAGAGAAGACAAAACACCCTGAATTGGTTCTCTGTTATCTTACTTCTTTTGTTGTTCTTAAGGTCTTTCTTGTGCACCTCACAAGCACTACGAATTCATTATTGATATCATCCCTAAAATGTTTCCTTTTCGTCGTGAAAAAGGTCAAAATGTCAGTCATCCTACCTGTCGCCGTCAGTTTTATCTGCATGTCCATCCTAAATTGACTGATCATGATTTCAAAAATAACCACCAAAGGGAAACTTCACCTAGAGTGCCGAAAGTAACCGTGGATTGTGCCCTATATATGTTTGGTCTGGAAAACCCATGCAGTGCTAAAACCAGACGTAACCTGACTTTTCGAGTTTTCACGCGTTGATTCTTGCGGTTTGGTACCATTTAATGAATATCGTTTATCTCAGCTTTCTATTTTTTCCTGATTCACAACCGATGTGATAAAGATAATCCGGCTCCGCAAACTTACGTAAACAGGTAGAAAAAGAAGTTTACAATGAAGCCTCGATAATTGTTGGTCAGGCGTGGAGCTTTGATTGGCGACATAAAGGTGAAAAATCTAACGCTCAAGAAAATGACGAATACGAATATTTAGTTATTAAAATTTTTTGTTTTCAATCAAGAAACCACAAGTGGGCTTCCTGTCCTGAAGACTATGATTTTCTAAGAGGATTTTATCATTCAAATGAAACTTTTTTGGACAACATCGAGCAAGCCTTGTGTTGCAGGCCAAAGACCTACATAAGTAGGACCACAGATTGCTACTTTGAAGATGTGGGACAAAAACTTGATACAGAGGGCTGGAACACGTGTCGAGACTGGTATTACATGGCTGGAGTGTACAGAGGAGGGTGCAATGCCTTAAGCTGTATTGAGACATTAAAGTGCTGCAAAATTACGGCACAAGGTATTCGTTATCATTAAAATACAATATAACGTTAGGATTCTAATAAGTAAATTCTCTTTTTGCCAATGCTTCAACAAAGGCCAGACTATGGTGCATCACATAGCTGAAAATTGTCAACCCTCTAACTCCCACGAGTGACCAAGACAGAATTTCTCCTTACGATATCAATACAATATCAAGCAGACAGGTGATGAGAATAAAGAAAAAGATCAGTTAGGGGATTATAAGTTAATCCAATACCAAACTCTCAGAACTAGCATCATAAGAATTGTATGGCAGACAGTAAGGAGAATCACTAATGAGATCATGGGAGTTAGAGGGTTAACCCATGAACCACTGCACTGCCTGAGACTGAGAATTTGATGATGACTTTCGCTAACGTTTTCAAAATCGTCTGACACTGGCACCAAAAACAGTGCCTTCTTAAGGTAAACACTCCCACTACAGTTTTGCCTGACATTTGCCTATCTATCATTTTTTTTTCCCTTTTTGCAGATGGAGTAGTTCTAGACCACTGGCTACTTAACGGTCAAGATGGGAATGTAAGGTATTTTTGAAAATTTTGTGATTTGAGTATTACCAGGAAGTAACAGTAACATACCTGACAGATAAATGGAAAATTGTATATTTCATTCTTCACATGATGCCATATTTTTAATGGTGTGATAAGTCAGGTACACAAGTGAAGTAGTTCTTTCCATAAATTAAGATCGTCCTTCGATCTCGAAGGGATCGCATAAATTTAACACTTTTTTGCTTCAATTCCAGTTTATCTGGTTCGCCATCTTTCACCAAGGGTCGATGCCCCAGCAGCAACGCTATTACTTTTAACCAATCGAGTTCGTATGCCAGCGTGCCTCTAATAAATCTTGGAGGCCGAAGTTTTACAATTGCCTGTTGGATTAAACAAACAAAAAGCGTTAAGGATGAGATTGCAGCAATATACGGTGACTGGCGAAGACCATGGAATTTTTTGCTAAGTCTAAAAAACCGAGAGATTATCTTCCATCGTCCCAGAGAAAGATACGGAGAAAGACAATGGTGGTCCGCAGGAAGTGCTGATGTTTCTTTTGACGCTTGGACTCACGTGGTTGTTATATGGGATCATAAAAAAACCGCCGTGTCGATATTAGCCGACGGGTTAAAAGTGGGGGGAAACTCTTTTTCATCAGAGGATGCGTTTTACGAACCTACAGGGAATCGGTACCAGATCGGTGATGACGGGCACTGGGGTGATCATCAGTTCTATGGATCAGTGATGGATCTTTATGTGTTTGGCTCGGCACTGTCGCTGGAACAAGTCAACAAACTAAGAGGTGAATTCTATTGATTAAGAAAACTTTATCCGATGAATCTTCATATCAGGATGGTAAAATAGAATGGTGATGAGTTACACCGTCTGTATTAACATCCTCCTCCTCCCCTTCCCATGAGCTTATTGCAGACCTTGAATCTTACCAATCATTTATCAAATAATTTTCTAGGAGTTCCGCTTATCGCTAACACGACCAAGAGTGTATCAGGGGGGGACGTCCTAGTGGTGTGGGAACCTCCTTTGGTAGGAGCATGTCCGATTGTCAAATACAATGTGTATTACAGAGAGGTTATGTCATCAGCAAGACAACAAAGCAACTGGTACTCGGTAGAGTTGGACGGAGGTCGCACAAGTTGTACGCTTCATTTGAGCTGCAGGAAAGAATACAATGTGTCTGTTACCTCGATTAGCGAATCAGGGGAGAGTCCATTCAGTGACAGCAAAATTTGGAATTTCCAAACCACCGGAGGTAATAACCTTAACAAAGTGAAACTTTGAAGTCGATTGCACTGAAGTTGCAGTGGCAGATCCAGATCAAGGGTGGGGGGCGGTTTTTTGTCGCTTGCCCTGCCGGCTCTCCCTCCCCTAGATCTACCACTGAGTTGTAAAACTATGTCAGGAATGTACCGTAAAGTACATCAAACAGTATTTCCACAAAAAGAAAAAATTCTCTCATTTCAAGCGGTTTTGAATGCACGAGAGAGTAAAATTTTAATTTCTGTTGAACAATTGTTGCGATTATTCATCCAAAAATCAATCGTAATTGTGCAGCACTTTTATATCTCAAAGAACTACCTTGTTCTATTCCCAAAGAGGTTTACAAACACCATCTAATTTTCTTTTTGAAGGCATTCCTTCACCTCCAATTATAACCCCTATGAAACAAGAAATATCGAGTAACAATATCACCTTATCCTGGAGTCCTCAAACAGCCAATGCTTGTCCGCTGACCATGTACTCAATACACTATCGACTGATTTATCCGGGAGGAGCAGGGGAGTCCTGGAACCAAGTCAATGTCACAAATGTTACGAAGACAAGCCATACTGTATCGTTAGAGTACGACAGGCAATACACAATTGAAATGTCGGCGTGGAATGAGCTGGGACAGAGTGCAAAGTCGAGGCCATGGATAATAACAACAGCATCATCAGGTACTTAAAATATATTTTTTGTCTTTTCTCCTTATTTTTCTTGTCTTAAAACAAACTTGAACTATGGGCTTGCAAGCGAAGTCTGTAATAACGACATCGTTCGCCCGAGATGATAGAATTGAATTGAATTGAATCTTTATTAAGTCATAAGATAAATAATCACATATCCTATGTTACAACATTAAAAGAAGGTATATATATAAATTACAGAGAAAATCAAGATAAAAATTATAAGACTAGATTATGTTTAAAAATTAAGCGATTAACAAACGTGTTTTTGAACCTATCAGTGTTTATTTTAGGATGGTGACTTGACTTGATAGAGGGTATTTTTTCTTGGGGCTGAACAGAGCCTTTTTCACAACGAGCTTGTGGAAAAAAAAAATTGGTCATGTGGTCTGATCGTTCAGGTGAGAGTGGTCCCGGAAAGGACTGACTAATGTTAGCAGAGACTGACGTTTCGAAAGCCTGAGCGGACTTCATCATCAGGATCAAATGAGGGTTCTTTGCAAGTCGAGTGCCATAAGTGTTTAATGTGCTTGATAGAAATAGCTAAACTTATTAGCGAGAGTAATAATGTCTTCATGAAACATCACGAACATACGTAAATTCTCAGAAAATAGCTTAATTTAAGGAATATAGGAGATGTCCAACAACAAGAGAGAGAAATAGTATTTTCGATTAATAACGGGAACGGAGAAATTAATGATAAATTTCATCTTGATTGTAGGTTCAATTCATAGGACTGCTGAAAAAGGCACGGTTAAATCTTCAGTCTCAGGCAGTGGTAAAATCCTTTCAACACCACAGCTTGCTGGTTTATTAGTGGGTGTTTGCATCCTTCTGTTCGTAGTTTTAATCGCAGTAATCTACCTGAGACGTGCAGCAAGAAAAAGCAGAAAACATGCTTCTGCCCTAAGGCTCAGGAGGTAACATTAGCCATTTTTGTACTTAAAAAATATCGTTTTGCAAAATTGCCTTCTTCTTTTAATTTAAAATTTGATATCAAAGAAGGCTCGTGGCAGTTGAGCGCGGGATATACTTCAATACTACTAATACCTACTTACACTTCAGATCGAAGTCCACCATTTTTACCCTCCATAACTGGGAAGTTCTTCCGGAGCAGGTTGTATTCGGGGAAGAGATTGGTCGCGGGGCATTTGGTAAGGTATTAAAAGGCACCTTCAGAGAATCACCTGGAACTGAGGTCTTCATCGAGCCTAGATATGAGACGGTCGACTTCAAACCAGGAGAAACAGTGGCCATTAAACTCCTGGGAGGCAAGTTGTTCGGACTTTAATAAATTGAGGATGTTTTCATAGAGTTTCAAAACTGAGTTTGTTAATTGACATCAATTGACCTGTAAATCGTTAAACAGCTATTGAGTGCGAGACTCTGCCTTCGAAACGAAACTTCTCTTCCGTGTATTTCGGAAACGAGACATTTTCCAATCGTCAAATTTTGCAAATAGGCTACTTAAACAATCATATCTAATATGTGAAAGGAAATGAAATCTCACTCGTCATTACGGCTCTCTTAAAATGCTGAAAGAAATATTTCATTGCTCTTATTCGCTATAAACACCTGGGCTATACCCCGAAAACACCACACATTTTCCAACCTCATCTGAACTCATTCGATTCTCTCCTCAGACAAGACAGGCGAAGAGGCACGAAACCAGTTTTTGGAGGAAATTGAACTTATGAAATCAATCGGCTCACATCCTAATGTTGTTAGAATGTTGGGATGCTGGGTACACTCGGATCCTATCTTTCTCCTCTTGGAATACGTTTCTTACGGGGATTTGTTACAGTGGCTAAGAAACAAAAGGATACAAGTAAGTGGATTAGAAAAGTTTCTCGAGAGAAACACATTCTCAGTGTTCTAAATCAATTTTTACTCCTACTTTTGATAAAGATGGATATTATTTCTTTTGCTCCGATTTTGTCAAAGCTGTCATTGCTCTAATGGTTTCAAACTGATTGTTAAGTATTGCCAACAGGATCGAAGGAAAAGTCACCATAGCAACATTAAATTGCCTTGAAATGCGTTTAATCCTGGCTTCCTGAAACTATAAAATACGCGAGGTTATCGAATCGTAATCAATTTTTTTCAATTGTTTATTATCCCACACGACATTTACGTAGACTCAGATTTTCTTAAATGAACGTGGCCTCAAAGCTCCAATGCAAATTATAATTTGTTTTTAATTTAGTAGAAAAGATAATATTTGTAGCCCCTACCTGCTTTGAGACGGAGAGCAATAGTTCTGAGTGTTATAACTAATCTTTTCATCTCATGTGTTGCACAGAAGAGTTATCAAAAGCATTATGATAACTTCAACAAGCCTCTGCAACTTGATACAAATCTGGTGCAGATTAACGAAGATGAGTCCAGAGAACTGCTATCAAGGAGTGAAGAAGAAAGTGGAAAGGATCCAGACACCAAGGGTATTCCTAAGGCTGTTTCAACCTCAGTTTCTGTCTGCGCCTCGGGTATTGAAAGTGTCTCGAAGGAAAAGACACCCGCCATAAATGAAGCAAAAACTGACGTGACAGAAAAGGTGCAGAATCATTACGACAAACATCCTATTCAAGCCTCTCTAAGTGATTGTCATAATAATGTGGAATGGGACGAAGACTTCACAGCTAAGGATCTTCTTGGTTTTGCGTGGCAAGTAGCGCGCGGAATGGTTAGTTATGTTTCAGTTATCACATTGTTGTTCTCTGTTAACGGCGTTTTTCGTAAACCCTGTGAAGGGTATAATTCTTCATGTTTTTTCGTTGAAGGGGGGGGGGG